ACCAGGGCCCGGGGAGAGGGGCAGTTTCTTCCCCAGAGACAGGAAAGGACGGGCCCAGAGGGTCCAGGGCATCTTGGGACGATCCCTTTTCGCTGAGACCAGTGGATCTGCTCCTTGGAGCAAGTGCAGACTGGCAGGGAGCCTTGCCTTCTCCAGGAATGAAGCAGCACCTGGACACCCTCCACCCCCTCCTCCGGGGCCTGCAGTCGGACCTCAGGAGCCTCCGGGGAGAGATGGGGAGTTTTGCCAGCTGCTATGAAGCCGCAATCGAGGAGGCCAAGCTGCAGGTGAGACCGGGTGGCTGGGGACACTGCGTGGGGCAGGGGCCCCGGGGCTCTGTGCAGTGTCCCCATGGCTGGCAGCTTTTTGGCATCTCCTGTGTGGAGAGCAGAACCATCAGTGGCTCGGGGGGTGGGGGCATGGTGGCCATGCTCTAGTGCAGTCTTTCTCAACCTTGGCCGCTTTAAGATGGGCGGGTTTCAACCCCCAGAATTCCCTGGCTGGCTGGGGAATGCTGGGAGTTGAAGTCCACCCATCTGAAAGCGGCCAAGGTCTTGGCCGGGAGGAGTACCGGCCGTTTCCTGCGGAGGGGGGCAGTTGCTGGATTGTGCTCGGGAGACGGAGAGATGGATCCTGACAGCGGAGGGAAAGAGAGACTCCAAGAAGAGCGACGTTCTCGGCAGGGTAGAAGGAGGAAAAGGAGGGGGAGAGAATCAGGATAGATAAACTCCAAGCAGGGGGTCTGCAGGGTGGGTCAAAAAACAACCTGGTGGCCAAAATCCACGCAGTCGACCCCCCTGGACCCATGGAGGAAGAAGCTGGGGTGAGACACCCAAAGGAGGCCTTTAATGCCCCGTTAGGAGAAGTCGCTGCTGCCTTCCTCTCCTCTCACTTCTCCTAGAGTGCTGAAACAGCCCAAATCCCTCCTCATCAGCTGCTCCTCCAAGCAAAGGAGAGAGGAATTCCTACAAGGCAAAGAGGGGACACGCAAGGAGATACCCGCAAACATTAGGGGGGCCGAGGGAGATTTTAAAAGATGTCTTCCTTTCCCCGCCAAGTGCGGTCAGGGCTCTGTTGAGACCAGCTGCAAAGGGGAGAAGTTCCGACACGAACGGCCTCGGGGCGTGTTTGATGGTGGGGCTCCCCCCAAGAGGCAGCTTGTGGGGGGACCCTTCCTCCCCTCACTCTTCCCGCTCCCCTCCAGATGTGCTCCGTGATCAAGGAAGTGGCGAATACCAGCCATTCTCTGCAGGAGCGCTACCAGCGGGAGGTGCATCTTCGCAAGAAATACCACGACCAGCTGCTGGAGCTGAAAGGTGCGCCCTCGGGATGCAAGTGGGGAGGGCAGAGGGGGGCTTTCCTAGTTTGGTTTCTTTGGTGGCCGGCCCCGGTCCCTCATCGCTTGCACCTGTTCCAGGACAGAGTCCCCAGCGCAGGCACTGGATCTCTGCTTTGGGTCCGGAGGGGCCCGGCTAGTGGCTCCTTTCATCTTCCTGTGGCTGCTCCCCCACCCCCACTCCTGCCCGTCCCCAGTCTGGCCACCTTCACTGTGTGCTTCGCCAACACTGACCACCTGCCATGTCTGGCTGGATTTTCAAAACGTGGGTCAGAAACCCTCTTATTTGGAGATGTTCGGAAGTGACAGGAACTTACCTGGGAACGAACATGGGTGAAGCTGGTGAAGATGGGGGGGCAGGTGGGCTGGGGGGGACTGGGAGGAGTCAGGCGAGGCTTGGCAAGGGGAAGGGCAGCTTTCTCCTTCCTCGCGTCCCGGGGGAATCTTTGCATCTGCAAAGACTGAGCGGGTTTGATTCTGAGGGCCACCAGTTCATGCCTAGCCAGGCCTGCCCACTGCCCCCCATCCCTCCCCAGAACAGCTGAGCAGGCTTGCTGGTGGACAGCGGAAGCTCTTCCCTCTTCCCAGCCGCCAAGCAATGGGGGCCCCTTTGATTTCCAGTCGGGGCCCAGTGGTGCTGGTGGGACAGGACCGACTTGCTCAGACTCAGCGAGGCGGGCATCAGGCTGAGCCAGTAGAAGCAGGAGGGCTGCTGGCCAGGGGCAGCGGAGGATCTCGGGCAGCCAGGGGTGGATGGCCGCCTCTGCCATGGAGAGACAAGCAGGCTTGCCCATGAAGGAGGGTGCCTTTGACGCAGGCTGCAGGAAGAGGGACGCTGAGCCCCTGGGGGCTCCTGCCCTCTTTGCCAGAACCCCCCCATGTGGGTTTGCCTGCAGATGCCCAGGGGCCCAGGTCCGGCCCAGGCGCTGGGTCCCTCCGGTGCTGCTGAGGCGTTGCTGGAATTGCCCTCGCACCCGCTCTGCACTTCCCTCTTCCCAGGGTCCTTGACTGCAGCCAGCCAGCCTCATTGTGGACTTGTGGCTTGACTGCTCCTGCAGGAGGGCAGGCGGTGGGCGGTCTCCTTGCCTCCTGCATTTCCCTGGTGCCATCCCTGTTCCCTAAAGGGATGGGGGAGGGGGCTTCTAATTCCTCATTTCCTCTCTTCCTTTTCCAATTGGTGGAAAAGCATTTGGCTGAATACCGTCAGTAGCATAACAAAAGGAAGATGCCCCAAATGGAGCTGGTGGCTCTCTGAACACAGCCAGGCAGTCCAGGAGCGTGTCCCTTGGCTCCTTCCCAGCCTAGCCTTGAGCCCTGGTGGTCTCCCTTCCACGTCCTTCCAAGCCCAGAAGAGGTCTTGTCTGGACCAAGCCATTCCCTTGCAACAGGCAGCTGAGGGTGCAGGGGGAAAGGATCCAGAGGGCTTGCTCCTGTTCGGGGGAGCCCGTCCCAGATAGGACCAACCCCGCAAAAGGGGGGGCCTTTTCCGCACCCTGCCCCCCTGCGGGTCAACCCAAATGGACGCCAGCCCTCCCCCTCCCCTAGGCAACATCCGGGTCCTGTGTCGCCTGAAGCCGCTGACCGAGGATGAGCAGCAGGGGGGCCCAGGGGGGGCCTGGGTGGAAGCCAGCCCGGCCGAGGACGGGTGCGTGACCGCTTGCTACAAGGGGAAGGAGCACTCCTTCAGGCTGGACAAGGTCTTCCTGCCGTGCGCCACGCAGGAGGAGGTGAGCATGTCCTGCCGGCCGTCCTTTGCCCCCTCCGCCAGGGCCCCCACTGGCCCCCCCCCGGTTCCCCACTAAGCCAGAAAGTGGCCAATGAGATGAGGACGGGGCTGAAGACCCGGGTGGCAGGCATTGCTGTGCAAACTCTGTGAATGATGCAAGTGTGATGACGCAAGCGTGGAACCCGAGTTGTTTGTGGGGTGACACCCCACCATGCCTTGCCTGGTCCTGGACAGCTCTCTTTCTGAGGGGCTGCCTGGGGGAAACCTGGGGGCTCTGGCACCCTGTCTTTCCTTTCCCTCCTGCCTTTCCGTTAAGGAGAGCAGAGGGCAACTCTCCCATTGCCACCCGGGGGTCAGAAGGCCGTGTGGGGTCCTGATGCAGGCATGTGAGTGATGCCTTTTCCAGGTTCTAGACCCCCAGGGGCCCTGCTGCTTTGCCCTCCAGGGCGGCCGCACTGGCAGATGACTGAGTCTTGCTCCGGGCTCACCCCTCTGCTCCTGCCTCCAGATGGACCCACAGCCCACATCCCCCACCCCAGTCGTCCCCCTGCTCCTCCGTGGCCCCTTCCCTCTCTGCAGTGCCTGTGGGGAGGGGGCAGGGAAGGCTCTTGTCCAGTGACCCCCTCCCCGTCTGCCTTGGCAGGTCTTCCTGGAGATTGAGCCGGTGGTGGTGTCTTGCCTGTACGGCTACAACGTTTGCATCTTCGCCTACGGACAGACGGGCTCAGGCAAGACCTACACCATGGAGGTAAGGCCTTGCCCTGCATGGCACGCCGGAGTAAGGCTTCCGCCACGTTTGGGTGGATCTGGGCTGGGCCCACAAAGCGGGTCTCTTGTGCCCCGTGGAGAAGAGAAGCTGGGGACCAGAGGCAGGGGGGAGGAACCCTGGAGGAAAAAGCTCCCGAACTCTTGCTTGCTCCCAGGGGCTCCCGGGTAACCCGGGGATAAACCAGCGGGCCCTGCAAGCCCTCTACCAGGAGATGGAGGCCAAGGAGGAGGAGGCGTGGAAGTACTCGGTCAGCCTCACCATGGTAGAGATCTACAATGAAGTGATCAGGTGAGAGAAGGGGGACCGTGCCGCGGAAGACTGGCTCGTTCCAGATTAAAAGCAACAAAGAGCATCTCTCTGCCCCTAATTTGATCTCTTCTGGAAACGCACGGTGCCCGAGGAGAAAGCGGGAGTCGCGGGGGAGACCGTCCTGCAGAGGTTGCTTTCTCCAGGGCCCCTCCCTGAAAGAATAACGCCACCTGGGCTCTGCTTGTGAGGGGAAGAGACGAACTGGCCCAGGATAAAATTCATGGCTAATTTTAGGGTGGCCTATTTGTAGGGCGCCTGTCTGGAGAAAACATCCACCTTTTCCAAATTGTGTCTCATTCCAGCAGTGTCATCTGAAATGGAAGGTTGTTAAAATAAGTTGAAGAGTAATAAATCACATCCCACTTTAAAAAAAGAGTGGGTGGCTGTGTTAACCCCTAAAGGGTTGTGAGAGTTGACATCTCCCAGCATAAATTTGTGGCCCCCAGTACTGGCAGCCTCCCCCAAAGTTACCTCCTGCGCAGGGTCCTGGACCCTCATATTGGCGTCCCAAGGGAGGGGCTTTTGGGGAGAAATAAACCTTCACCCGGCCCCACCACAGGTCTGCAAAAGCTTCCTCTCCCCCGGATGGAGCTCTCTGGTGGCCGGCAGAGCCAGGACTGGCTGAGCAAGGTGATGGGGTGGGGGCGGGGCTCTGCTTTCCCTCCTCTTTAGAGACCTACTGACCAAGGATCCCCAGGAGAAACTGGACATCAAGCTGCACCCTGACGGGAGTGGCCAGCTGCACGTCCCAGGCCTCACCAGCGTGGAGGTGCAGAGCCTCTGCGAGGTCCAGAAGGTAACTGGACTGGATCTCTGCTTTGGTGTCGGCGGGGGGGGGGGGGGGCGGGGCTGCCAGTGTGAGGGCGAGTGGAAGTGCAAGCTGGCGAGGGCAGGGACTGCCAAGGGAAAGTGAGGCCGTGGGTGTTGGAGGGTCACTGTTTGACGTCTTCGTAATGCCAGACCTTGCCTGCACCAGCACTGCTCTGTTCCCAAATGGGCACTAGAACCAAGCAGGGCTCTGCTTACAGCCAGTCTGGTGTAGTGGTGAAGGCACCAGGCTAGAAACTGGGAGACCCTGAGTTCTAGTCCTGCCTGAGACATGAAGCCAGCTGGGTGACCCTGTGCCAGTCCTCCCCTCTCAGCCCTGAGAAGGAGGCAGCGGCCAGCCGCTTCCAAAATCTTGCCAAGAAAACTGCAGGGACTTGCCCAGGCAGTTGCCAGGAGTCCACACTGACTCAAAGGCACGAAAGGAAGGGAGGGAGGGGGGAGGGGGGAGGAGAGAGAGAGAGAGAGAGAGAAAGCCAGCCTGAAGCATTTAATTTATTTATTATGTATTTATTTCATTAAATTTTGCCTTCCAAATGGAGCAACATCTCCAGGCACATGAGAATCCCTGGCCCTGGACAATTGCTCCAGCCCTCCACCTAAAAGGACCCATCTTGACCAACTCTCCTTCCCTTTGCTGTGCCCAGATTCTCCTACTGGGAAAGCGGAACCGCACGACCTTCTCGACTAACATGAATGCGCACAGCTCCCGCTCTCATGCTCTTCTCACGCTCACGCTCACCGGCACTGACCTGACCAGCGGCACCAAGGTCACAGGTAGCTGCCCAGGTGTTCCTGACCCATCCTCTGGTCTGGGGCAGGGCAACTTTCAGACCCAAATCAGCATGGTTGAGCTGGACATCTCACAAGGGTACAGGAACACCCTCAGCTGAGGGTTGGGAGAGGCCTTTGGGATCTCTGGGTGGGCTTTGGAGAATGATTTGCTCTTGGGTTGGAAGGCCGTGCATCTCCCTCCTCACCCTTGCCAAGACAGAGAAGGAGCTGGGCTGATGGCCTCCTGCTTCAGATGCCATCCCTTGTCTCTTTCTCTGCTGGTCCCGGAAAGTGGCACCACCTCCATCTCATCTCCTGGGCTTGCTTGCAACCCCTGCATTGCTCTGGCCTTGCTTGGTGCTGGTGTCGCTCCAGTTTTCCTCAACCTTCTGGGCTGCTGTTCCCTTCCATTGCCATTGGGTGGGGAAGGCTGGACGACTCCTCCTGCAGAATGGTCCTCAGTGGAGTTTGAGCCCCCCCCCCAGCCTGGACAGCTGCTCCTTCAGTCCTGGAAGATTTCACAAACAGCAGTGTCCTTCCAGGCAAGCTGAATCTGGTGGACCTGGCCGGCTCAGAACGGGTGTGGAAATCTGGCGCGCAGGGGGAGCGTCTGAAGGAAGCCCAGAGCATCAACCGGTCCCTGCTGGCCCTGGGCGAGGTGATCCAGGCCCTCCAGACCAAGCAGGCACACGTGCCTTTCCGCAACTCCAAGCTCACCTACCTGTTGCAGGACTCCTTGGGCAAGGGCAGCAAGACGGTCATGATGGTGCAGGTGAGGGGAGATGGCACGGCTGGGCCACCGAGGATGGCAGGACCGAGCCCTGGGTCCCTTGGCTGAAAGCTTCCCAAAGTCTGGCCATATGTGGGGGTCCCTTCTCTTGCTCCAGGGCCACCAGTGGACCCAAGCTGAGAGCAAGCAGCCTTTGTGTTGCAAGGATCCCTCAGGCCATCCGTGGAGAGGCCCCACTGCAAGAGGATGAGCTGGCAGGCCCAAGAGGCCTTGGCAGAAGGCACACCTGCCCTTTGTGGCCTTGGGATTCCCACCTGCTTCTAAACGGCCTTCCACTCCATGGAGATGGAGACTCCACTGGGACAGTGTTGTGCGCGTTGGTGCTGCCTTCTTGAAGTCTCTGGGTCCAAGTCGGCTCAGCCCTGAGACATCCAGGATTTTGTCCCTTTCTCTCCCCTGCCCGAGATCTGCAGGGGGCACATTGGGACCTTGGCAGTTTGGAACAATTCAGCTCCAGGAGTTCAGGCCTGGCAGGACACGAGAGCTTTCCTGGTGGCAAAAATATTCAGGGAGGGGGGCCTGGGACTCCAGCTCCCCTTTCTCCCGTTTGCTTCCTTTGGGTCCTCAGATTTCCCCCCTAGAGAGAAACGTGGGCGAATCCATCTGCTCTCTCAAGTTTGCCCAGCGCGTCTGCAAGGTGGAACTGGGCCCAGCCTCCCGCCGCATCACCTCCCTGGCCCAGCGTGAGGTCTGAGATCTCCAGCCCTCCCGCAGGCCTCCCTCAGGAAGGAGCACCAGGACCGGGCACACTGCAGGCCAGGCTCAGGAGCTGAAAAGTGTCCTTGAGGCTCCCAGGACCGTGGCCCCAACCGAGGGGCCCTCCTCAGATCTGGCACCATCCTTGCATTCCAGCC